TCTCGAAAACCAAGTAACGACTCGGGTACATACCATTGAAGAATCGGCTGCTTTCGTCGCCTCCATCGTTGCCTCCTGCTTCTTCGTTCTCTGAAGATTCCGAGTCCGAGTCTTCATAGACAACCTGAGAGGTTCTCTTTTATCTTCGAACCTCTGCTGGAACCTCATCAGTTAAACCATAATTCGGCCTTTTTGTACGTGCCATATGCCTACATGATCAATCCAAATCGGTTACAATGGAATCTATATCGACATCCATCTCACAAAACCGACAAGATTACGACACTTACCTTCTCTGATTCGCCTACAAATCGATTGCTGTGGTGAGAGTTTGACTTAGTTTTTCTTAGTAACTGCTCGTAGTGGTCCCGACGAACTAGGATCAATCGTCATTTCGTCCGCTTTTTTCTTTTAAATTTTGCCCTAAATTTTTTACTTTTGATCGATTGAGAGGAGATGAAGGGTGATTTAAGCGGTTTTTAATATTAAGATCCGACTAGGATCCGCGATATATGGACGGATTAGGGTTTATATGGGTTTGTCTTGGTTGGGTCAGTAATTTTGTTAAGTTTTTAGGGACATAATCAAGATCTACTCCTTTTCTCTATTTAAAATAAAAATTATAAAATAACCCAAAAAATAAAGGGGTATATTGGATCATTTTTAAACCGTGAGAGGCATCTCAGCCATTGATCCTTTTCTCTTCGCCACTTATTATTATTATTTTTTTCAAAATTCTTCATTATATATAAAATTTGGACACATATCAATTTCATTTTTCTCCATTTCGAAAACAAATAATAATTGATTTTATTAAATTGTCTATATACAAAGCGACAAAAAAATTATTGTTGAGAAAATTCCATATTAATTAATACACCAAATTAATTTTACACACTTATATAGAAAAGCAACTAATTAGCACCCCAACTAATAGAAATATAGTGGATTAATTTTGGTGTAGTTAGTATTTCAATTTTTAAATTTTTAAAAATTAGTATATTAAATTTATATTGTCTAGTAGATACCAACATTAACCAAACTTTTGTTAGTCAATATTTTCAATCTGATGATAACTTAGCCACTAGGAAAACAGCCAATTCATACCTAAACTTATAGAAATATAATATATTAATACATGAATATTTTTGATGTACTAATTAGTACTCAAACTTATAATTTTTAAAAAATAATTCGTACATTAAGTTGGTATCGTCTACCCTAGGAGTGCGCATTTGGGTCACCGAATTAGTTCGGTCACATGTTTTGGATTTCATATATTTTGTGACTATAACTTTTGATACCGATTGGGTATTATTAAACTTTTTGATTGGATTCAATGCAGATCTCTTCAGATTCAGATGGGTTTGGATATTATATTTTGGATTTCGTTTGGAAAAGCTTAGATTTGAGTCATCATCATTAAAGGATTGAGAAGGTTTACTAACAGAAAATTAGTCAAGATTGGTATCGACTAGACTAGGGGTGGGCTGACATTTGATCCGGATTCGATCCGAAAATACCCCATCCAAGCTGGTTCCAGACCCATCCGGTATCCGAAAAAATACTCGAACTAGGGGTGGCATTTGAGTTACCGGATCAAATATTTTAGATTTCAGATATTTTGGAACTACAGTTTTTGGTACCGATTGGGTATTACTAAATTTCGGATCAGATTCGGTTTGGATCTTTCAGGGTTCAGACCGGTTCATATATTATCTTCGGATCCAACGTTTTCGGGTTTGGTTCGGGTCCAACTATTTTATCTAAAAGATAACTATAAATAACCAAATAAAACCAAATATACTCGAAAATAGCCGTAAATTTATATATAAAAATTTAAAAATAACCAAAGTTATATCGATTCTAAAGCAAACTAAATATTCAAAATTTAAATTCAAAATAAACATTAAAATTCATGCAAATTGTTAAAAAAGTATATATATATATATATATCCTTAATTTCATCTTCTCCAAATTAACTTTTATTTCTTGTAAAAAAAGAATTTCAATCATTTTTCTATCAAGAACAACATATTCAATCACACAGTTCGTTCGCGCTGCCATACCTAACATAAACCAATTCTGGAAGGCACCGCTTTGTTACGAAATCTTGGATGAATCTAGTCTTGAACCACCGATCTTCAAAGATTCGCTCCACCACACTGTGCGTAAACTTAACTTCGGCAGAGACCACGATTAGCGCCACCACGCCATACAAAGACCCATCTTCTAGTCCTACAGATACCACGGTTCACACCACAGTATTGTACAATAACATCAAACCGTATTTTAGAAGGTTTAATCGAGCTTCCCCGAACCCATCTTCGATAGGGGCCCATCAAGGACTTGAAGAGGAATCTGAGATCTATATAAACTTTTTGATGTTCAACGATGAGAGTCGAGTTATCTATGGATAAGTAAAGGGAAAGGTCTCGTAGATACGAATGCGTGGACTAATTGCATGAAACGTAACAATGTGGATGCATATGGCTGTACACACCGCATGGACAGACATTCATGGACACGTTCCAATACAACAAAAAATCCACATTGGTCACTGTACATTGACATAATGTTCTGGACGCATATTATTAAAAATCCATTAATGGACAAAAGACCATGGGCATTGTTGTTTTGTACCCTTCTTATAGATCCACTACATATTATTTGAGAAGTAACATTATTGAAAATTACTTACTTGTCAACACTACAATCAAAGTTAGTGCTTTTAATTGATGACATGTAAATGTGACATGTCAAACTTCCTAAAATAAACGAAATGTTTTGATTGGTTGAATTGAAATTATAGAAATTGTGGAATTAAAACATAAATAAACTAAATTATATTTATAACACTAAAATTAACAAATTTGAATTAACAGAAAATAAAAGCTATTATAATTTAATTTTTTACATATATTCATAATTTCATAAAAAATAATTACGAAATTTTTTCAACAATATATATATATATATTATAATTTCATGTAAAAATTAAAAAAAAATATTAAATTATCCAATAGAATAGTAAAAATTCTATTTATTAATAATACTTTAAGTATGATATATTTTTATTTTGGAAAGTTATTAATTAAATCTAAAAAGGTTTTAAATAAACAAATTATTAAATAATACAATTTTAAATAAAATACAATCATGATAAAAATAATTTTAACACGTAAGAGCAACCCAAATGGAGAACTTTGGGTGTCTGAAACAAAAGATCTTAATAATAAAAATGAATAAAAAAATAGTGAGAAGGTCTTAAAGAATAGATATAGTGTCTAAAATATGATACTTTTGTTGAGTTAAGACACCCAGTGTCTAAAATAAAATAATAAAATATTTTTAAGACCTTCTTAATAAGTTCTCCATTGGGGTTGGTCGCCATATTTCAATTTTTTTACAATTACGCGTACATATATAAATATTAGTTGTACATTAGTTAAAGTCACATGCAAACTTTTTCGTGCATGTATTTTGGTAAGATTGATTACAGTCTAATTTTTATTTTAATTATTATCCAATTTATATTTTAAAAAAAAAATCTTTATTATTCTAAGTGAAGTGATTGGTATGCCCGCGCATGCGTGCCAACCATCTATCCGCTCTTAGGAATAACTAAAAATGGTAAAAACTATTTCAGTTTAATTTGCAATAAATCAAGAAAAATACATACTTAAAATATATTATATATATATTTACAAACTCATATTATGTAAGATGCAAAAAAAAACATATTGTAGATTGTAAGGAGAAATAAAGCATATTAATATTATAAGAATTTAATTATTATTTAACATAACTTTTATATTTGTGATTATATACTATTACAAGCATTATAAAAATAAAAGTAATAAAATACATTGATTTCAGAAAGAAGTTTGTGAAATATTAAAACAATATATACAGTATATATATAGAAACATACAAATGTTTAAAATTTAAATATTACAATTAACTATGTATATCAAAAAAATTATACCCGCACATATGTGCAGGCCAACCACCTAGTACATTGTTATGTTTGCATATTGGATCATCAATTCCTTGCAGTGTAGAGTTTTGTATATATGTCCATAACTTTTGAATTTTGTGTACTATGATGATTTTACTTGGTCCTTTGACCATTGTCTCATTGTTTAATTCTTGGCCTCTCTCCCTTCAGACCAACATACTCAGTATTATAATTATGCACCTAACAAAACAAATAACAAGACAAACTTAGATTCCATTGTATCCAATCTATATGGCTAGACCAAAACCAAGTTTTTGACAATAATGTGATATTTATTCACAAATTGATCAGCTTTCCGTAATAAAATTAGTATGGACACAAATTAATGGGCATTCTTAATGGGAATCAGGATCAAACACTTTCCTTATATGGACAATAATTAACTGGATTCAGTGCATTGATATGGACAAATATGTTTGTTCACTACAAGAAAAAGGTCAGATCGTGACAGAAAATATCATCAGAAAGTCGTCAAAAACGGCCTTTTCCGACCAATTCCTTATGGATAGTTGTCGTCAGATCCAGATTGTCGAAAAAAATAGTCGTCAGAAAGTCGTCAATAATTTTCCGACGGAGCTGATGGCGTCAAGAAAAACCTGATGGAATACTGACGGCAAAACTTCCCGACAACATCCTCACGGCTTTTGTGGTCAAAGATAGTGCGTTAGTAAGTGGTCGAAAAATTATAAAATACCAACGGATTGTGACAGAGTTATTTGTGACGACTTTTTGACGGAACAATTCATGACGACTTACCGACATACTATTAATTGTGACAATTTTTTGACGGAAAAAAATTCCTCACGATAATCTGACGGATCTATTCTTGACGGAGTTGTGACGATATTTAAAAATAATAATTTTTTTTTTAAATCATAAATTTAATAAAATTTAGCAAAATTAGAAAATAAAATATTATACATTAATAAAATTTTATTCAAAATTAAAACTACATAAATATTGTTCTCTAACAAAGAAATTATTCAGAAGACGAACAAGAAGATGGAAAACTATATGGGAATTGTTTCTCCATGAAATCTTTGAAAGCCTTCATTTCAGTTCGCATTGCTAAAACTTCATTGTCTCTCTCTTTCAGTTGAGTCTTCAACCCATCGATAACTTCAACAAGCATGGAGTCTTCACTTATATTACCCTTCGCTCTATCAGAAATATCTAGATTTCCGAAGCCAAAATATGGACCCTTTCTTTTGGGAGCTTCCTATATATATATTATAACATAATTAAGAATTTTAAGATAAAATGAAAAAGAAAAAAATTAAACAAAGGAAAATGACAACTTACTTCAAGTACAATCTGGTTAATCTCTTCCGAACTTAAGAGATTTGATGATGTCTCTTCACCATCTTGAGTCATTTGCGTTAAGATCTCATTTTTTCTTTTCTCAATCTTTTCAACAAGCTCTCGTGCAACTGCACATTGCAGGACCTTCGTTGTTTTGTTGGTGTGCATAACCTCAACCACTTTATCCCAAGTGGGAGGGACACCGTTAACAGTCTGCAAAGTGATACAATTTTACCTGTTTTACATGATAATGAAGAAGCCAAACAAATAGAAATTACCAATTCATCTACATGGGCTTTGCAACTAGTTGAACCGGAGTTGTGTGTTGAGATGCCTTTGCCGCCGCGCCTGCTCATTCTATTCTTCGAATTTCTGGTAGATATGGTCTTAGTGGACTCCAATGGCCAATAATCATCCTTCAATCCATCCCAAACTGTCTGGTTCAAAGCTTTTGGCTTCTTCTTGCCATTTTCCCAAGCTTGTTTCCACTCATACATGTTATGTCGGTAAGAAGAGGCAACAGCAGGGCGGAACTCATCCCAGACATCAGGTGTATAAACAGGATCCCAATTGAAAGATTGCTGCAAAAAGAAAATAAAAATGTATTAGTGATAGATGTATATTAAAGAGAAGTTTATTATTTATTTTTTGTAATCAACCACTTACCGTAAATGAACGTCTATTTAACTTTTAAAACGGCCATATTACCAACGTCTATTTAACTTTTAAAACGGCTATATTACCAACGGCTATTACTAACGGTTAGATTTTTTTCTGACGAAATATCTGACGGAGATTGTGACGGAATCCTGATGGATTTCCGACAAGTTTTTTGATTTTCAAACCATTACAACAACAGCTATATTAACGGTTGTTTTTTTTTGTGACAGAACTTTTGACGGATATATATCATCAAGATTCATGATGTTTTCTTGTAGTGATTCACGGTCTAATAGATGAGCTCAAATGGACGACACTACTGAAAGAAAAGTTAAATGGATGAATATAATTGGTCATGGTTTACTGGTATGAGCTCACATGGACAACACTACTGAATGTTCATACACATACGATTTTCCATCTCTTTAATGGATACATTATGGACGCACTCTCATGAATATACTTTTATGGACATACTCTCATGGATACACACTCATGATCATGGACACAATCTCGAAGAACCATTTCATTGATACTCATATACTATCATTCTTTCATGGACGAATATCTTGATTCAGTGGTATGGATGAATATATTTAGTCACAGTCTAATGGATGAGCACACATAGACAACACTACTTAATATGTAAACACATATGATTTCCCATCTCTTTCGTGGATACAATCTAATGACCACAATCTCATATAAATTACATGATGTAATGATACTCATGAACACATGACGTATCCTTTTGCTGCTAACCATACATGTAGTCTTGTACTTGCTAATAACAATTGATATATATATATATATATATGTATGTATACGTGAATAAATATCAGAGAATTATAAATTATGTGCTTCTTCATTGTTATTTGTTTTTAAACTCACTACATGAATTGTGCGGAGTGGAGGAAATTGAGACTGGGTTTGAAGGAAATTTTGTAGTGATCAGCAAAGTTGATCTAGTAGTGTCTGTAGAGTTCTATGCTTTGTATATTTCTAAATATATACATTATATCCACACATGTTGGTTTACGTATTCTTGGATTTTTGGTCAGTGTAATACGCTTATGATATTTTCGATCGTCCATGAATAAATACCCATAAACTATAACTCTTCAGCTTAAACACATATTCCATTCCTCAAACTGTCTCCATCGACATTCCTATACTATTAGTCTAACAAAATCCATCCTTTGCAAACAAATCCAATTTGTTTAGGCCTAACAATTTATAAAGAAGTCTTTGTGGATAGTTTATAATAGACAATGTGTTATGTACAAAATCATGTGAACAAGCTAAGCTAAGAGCAATGCAACCGAACCAACAAGCTGAATCTTCTTTTTTACAACAATGTGCTTGAACAATATAAATGTCGAAATTATTTTATGAAAGCTCCAATTAGGTCAAGATTATTTTATACATGTGTCCAACAATAATAAACGATTCATGAAACACCACTTATACATTCATCACGTTTAACAAATCTACAAAAACCACCTCGGGACAAAAATACAATCGCCTCTTGCCGTCACATAACTCATTACAAATCTTTCAGGATCTCTCCATTCCATTGTACCTGACAAGTCTTTTCTCTTGTGGACTAACAAGGCCACACATGGCAGCTATTGAAGCTCGGTCGGGTATACCTTAAGAATTTCTCCGCATCTGCTAATTGGGTTTAGAAAACTTTTAGATTTTTGTTAGAAAACAAACGAATCATACAAGTAAATACGAAGCCAATTCCTTTTTTTTCAATGTCAATGGCTATGGTAATCACACGTTTTTCAATCACACGTTTTCCTTACGTACGGCCCAAACGTTTGCACGGTAAAAAACAACTCCAGCAATTCTCGCCACCACAGTCAAAATTTGGGAACATGGTATTTTAATTCTCCTCATCATGATGTTTTGGTTATTGAAACAGTGATTAGCATTTCATTTGCACGCCATGTGCGTGAATTGGTACTAGATGTTTGCCTTGAGGGCAATTTCAGATTTCCGAGTGAGTTGTGTAACATTACACTTGGGATCTTGGAACTCCATAGATCAATTCTTTTAGAGTTTTCATCTAGGGTTTGTTTCAAGTTTCTTAGAAAATTGCACTTCTATTAATTCATAGGCGAAGAATCTTTTCGCAACTTTTTATGTGGCTATGAATCTTGAAGACTTGGTCGTAATTGATACCAATGTGGAAACTCTCACTATTGTGGTGCCATCATTACAGAAACTAACCATAAAAGTTATTGGCCTGACCCAGGAAAAAGATGTTGGTTTAAGCTTGATAGAAGCTTGAACCATAAGCAATCCTAATCTTGTAATGATTTGTATACCTAAAAGAGTTAAGAATAAGAGAGAATATTTAGGAGTTATTTAGTTATATTCTCTAACAGGATTAGGAGACCTTGTGATTATAAAAGGGATGTGGAGCTGTGACATTAACCTTAAGAGAGATTTGAGAGTTTAAGGTTTTGAGAGAGTTTCCTTAAGCTAATAAGAGAGTTATTCTTATTTATCTTTGATCTTTGAGTTCTCAAGTTCTTGTTAGAAACAATAATTGGTATCAGAGTTTCAGAAATTTTTCGATCAAACTAAGGTGAAAACATGGGAGATATTGTTGCATACACATCAACGAAGCCCAAAGAAGGAGGAGGAGGAGCATCGATCACCTGTCTCATGCTCAATGCAACCAATAACACCGTGTGGGCTATGAGAATGAGGATAACACTCAAAGTTTACAAAGTGTGGGAGGTTATAGAGCAGGATACGGATCCACCTGACGGCGAAAAGAACAACATGGCGATAGCTTTGTTGTTTCAGTCAATACCTGAAACCCTTATCCTTCAAGTAGGAGAGCTTGATACAGCAAAGAAGATATGGGAAGCAATCGAAGCCATACATGTGGGGGCTGAAAGAGTCAAGGAAGCAAGATTACAAATACTGATGGTTGAGTTTGATCGAATGAAGATGAAAGACATGGACAAAATCGATGACTTCGCTTGGAGGATATCTGAGATATCATCAAAATCCGCTGCACTAGGATAAATTATTGAAGATTAAAAGCTAGTTAAGAAGTTTCTTAAAAGCCTTCCCCGACAGAAGTATATACACATCATGGCTTCATTAGAACAAGTGTCAGATCTAAACATCACAAGTTACGAAGATATTGTGGGACGTCTAAAAGCTTATGAAGAGCGTATCTTTAAGGAGGAAGATACCCACGAAGATCAGAGCAAACTCATGTACCTATCGGAGCAAACCACTTAATCCAACCGTGACTATCAATCAAACCGAGACTACAGTGGAGAGTACAGAGGTAGAGGACGAGGTGGACGTGGCAGAGGCAGAGGTCGAGGAGGACGTAATGGTGGAAGAGACACATCAAAGGTGACGTGTTATCGCTGCGATAAGATAGGTCATTATGCCTCCGGCTGTCCTGATCGTTTGCTCAAATTACAAGAAGCTCAAGAAGAAGACACTAATGATACACAAGACGCTGATGAACTTATAATGCATGAGGTAGTTTATCAAAACGAGAAGAAAGTCATTCCAAGCAAGTACGAGAATAACAACAATGACGAAGATATATTGTATCTCGATAATGGAGTCAGTAACCATATGACAAGAGATCAATGGTATTTTGACAAGATAGATGAATCTGTTACTGGAAAATTACGCTTTGGAGATGACTCTCGAATAAATAAAAGAGGAAAGGGCTCAATCTCGTTCATTGATATGAACGGAAAGCCTAGAATTATGGAGGACGTTTACTACATACCGGATCTGAAGAGTAATATTGTAGTATCCGTATCCGAGAAAATGTGGAATGATTGTACCGGCCAGGGCGTTGTCCGAGGAATAATCGAGCCAAGGGTCGGATATTGGCTGGGAAATGGAGGTTCGGACTATGGTCGGGTGATGACCGAGGAAATAGTCGGGTATGGGCTGGATAGCCGAGCCGGATGGACCATATCCGAGGAAAAACAGGGTCCAGTCTGTGGGAAATGGGATTTATCCGAGTGCAGTGGGATTTATCCGAGAGTCTGGGAGGTTAGTCCGAGTGTCAGTGGACTGTCTCTGAGAGAGTAAGGGAAACCTTCGAGTGAAGTAGAGGATTAGCCGAGGTGGGACAAGTTGTCCGAGAGAAATAGGAATATCCGGGTGAAAACTGGAAAACACCTCGGATAAAGGCGGTTTATCCGAGTGAGAATGGATTTGGGCCGTAGATCAAGTGTTTGGTCGGCTATTTTGTGGTTTATCGAAGGAATAGTCGAGCCGGTACAGGGAATAGCCGAAAAAATCGAATCGGACCGGGATAAAACTTACTGGAACCAGGAAAACGTCGGATAAGTCCGGGTTACCTAGGGTTTTGCGAGTATTTAAGGGATTTTGAGACTTTTCTCGGGAGAGTTGTGTTTATTCGAGAGCAATAAAGCAAAGAAAGAGAATAGTCGAGAGAAAACCCTAAGAAAAATAGTTTATCCCGAGGACATCCGAGAGAGATCAGGTTATCGCCGAGCAGAACCGACCATCGCCGAGATAAATTGGTAAGCGATCGGATATTTCCCTAAGTGTTGAGTTTTCATCGGATAACCTCGAGCTAATAGCCTTATTTTGTGGGGTTTCTGAAGAAAAACAGAGTTTGGCTCGAAGAAAGGTGAACGGATCAAGAGATAGCCGAGGGGATAAGGATCGGATCGTACGAGCAGCCGAGAGATTCTTAGGGAGATCGGATATCTTCATTTTGGTGTGGTTTTCATCGGGATTTCTTCTGACCAATCTGTTTCCAGCCTTGTCTAAGGTGAGTGCGTGACTGTGGTTGGTGTCTAGGACCGTAGGATTGCTAGGGTTGAATGTTTGCATGTTGATTGTGTGATTTTCATGTTATGTGTTTAGAACTGATAAGCAATTCTTATGTTATGATATATTGTGGTGTTTACCGTGGCATATATGATGTTTAGCTAACCTCAGGATAATCCGGATCATGTACTAGCTTAGGGGATGTGGGATTCTCGCTGAAGTAGACATGAGTCTTAAAAA